GAGCAATGCCCTTGGATATATGGCCTGCCAATGATGGCTGAATGCTGACGGACTATACCATCATTAAGTCAACTTTTGTATGCAAGTCATGATGGATCAGTCAATCTCACCTGAATTGCATCTTGAAGTGCTTGGTTCCAGTCGCGCTTTCGCGCCATAACAAATGCGCGATTGGCATAGGCAGTGTGATTGCTGACGTCAGTGTAAATATCTAGATTTAGCTCCTTTTCAGCGGTAGGCCAGTCCCCGGTTATGCATGCAGTTGCGGACTGTCGAGTTCATAGCGAGAACCTGCGTAATTCATGTTCACATTGCGTTATAAGAGTCAAGGGTTGAAACATGCCTTGAAATCAGAGTAGGCTTGAGCCTTGGCATGAAAAAGACGCTCAGGTGATGAATGGGGGGAAGAATGAAAACGAACGTACCTGGTGCGTCACCTGTTCTTTCATGAGGCCGTCCTTTGAACCATCTTCTGGCAGAGCATCCTCGGATGTTGGCCACTCTGAGATCTTTTTATCCACACCTCCACTGAGGACGTGCTTGCCATTCGCAGAGAACGTGACGCAGTGCTACCTCCCCAGAGTGCTTGAATATGGCAACTGTTTCGTCGATCTGAGAGTCGCCAGAGGACGGACACGGTTGTCATCAGATGCGGAGGCAAGGAGAGTGCCACGTAGAGTCCACGAGAAATGGCATGGATATCCTTGAAATGGCCCTTCCAGGGATCACTGACTTGCCACCAGGACGATGTATCCCACTCTTCTATGGTGGCACTAACCCCATTTGCCCCCGAGAAAAGCCGTTTGCCATCTGGCGCCCACACGAGTGAGTAACTGAATGCTCCACTGATCGTCCTCATCAACACGGTGGGAACTGGAGGCGGTGGTGTGTAATTATAACCGTAGTAACGGTTTGGGATGCTTGAGTTGTAATCCTGGTAAATTTGGACATTGTGGTCCGTTGCAATTGCAAGAAGTGCTCGCCTATAGCCCGGCTGTGGCGAATACTGAACACAGCGGACAATTCCACTGCAACTGAGTGTATGTTGCACCTGCCACGTTGATGTATCCCATAGCTTCGTGGTAGTGTCAGATGATCCACTAGCCAGCGCCCTGGAATCCGAAGAAAAATCAAGTGAAAATATCCAACCCTCGTGGGCTTTATTGATTGTTTGGTTGATTTCCCCTGCGTTTCCATGCCAGACGATGAGATCTCCGCTCTCATCACCGCTTGCTATCCATTTCCCATCTCGTGAAACAGCCAATGCCCGGACCCGACTGCGATGCCCCTCCATCTTCTTCAACACTACACCTGTTTTCAAGTCCCACAGACGAAGCATACTGTCATACGAACCTGTGACCATGCGTTCGTCAGAATCGTCACGGTCGCGGAAGACTGCGAGTGCGATCACGCGATCCTCGTGATCTTCAAATGCTCGAGTGGGTGTGATGTTTGGAATGAGCGCCGCCATTTTAGTGAAGCTGCAGCACAATCGAGGTGGACTTTGTGTGTGGGGGATAGGTCTTGCTCGAAGTTGCAGAGGTGGGTGTGATGGGGTATTTCAAACCTGCTTTAAAGTATTACCCTCTCACCAGACGCCTTTGAAACATGAGGCTATTATCACAAGTCCTTGCTTGACAATCTAAGCGAATGGGCTCGTGCATCCAAGTCGTGTCGCCGCAATGTTCCACATTAGTCAACGGGCCTGGTCGCAATTGTTCCAGGGGTCCACGCAGAAGATAGGAAGACGACATACATGGTTCACCCGATTCACTTGATTGGCCATGTCCTCAAATTTGAATTAAGTTGTCACCAAAAGACGTAGTATTCCACCCGGTGACATGTTGAGCTTCTGTTCCCTGGAATTTCGTAGCGGAGATCCGAGGCTTCCTTTGATCTGCTCTGGTTGCTAGCATCACTGGTATGTGCGATTTGCCATTAGCATTGAACCTTTTCAAACTCTAATTCAAGTCAGCTGTGATTGAATGTTGGATTATTTTGGATTCGAAGTTTTTGAATCGGTAACTCCAAGCTTACACGTTGTTTCTCGGATTTCCGGTGGTTGAGGATGGCAATGGGTATGGTGATGTGACCGTCTAGATGAGTTTTCTAGCTGTGTCTAGTAATAAGTTCTCAGGCTTATCTATACATAGCCGCTTCTTCTCTGCTCGTGACTCTTATTTACTTGATCCAGATTCCAGATTCCACAGCCGACTCTTTGGCCGTCATTAATATTGCTCGTTCAACTCGACTCAGTTATCTAAACCTACAGCGGCCATCGCTGGACGCCGGTCGCTGATATCATAATGACAGTACGTATCTATCTTGTCTAAGAAGTAAAGTGCGACGGTTGCGGGAACGTTCGGGCGCTCGCGTGGTTTGCGCCTATTTCGCCTATTTCGTTTATTTCGTTTATCTCGCGTATTTCGCCAAAGGCCATGTGGTTTGCGCTTAGCTCGCTTAACCTCTTTTTGGAAATCTCGCGTGGTTTTCTCGCGTGGCCTTTGAGCGCCGACTCAATCTCCTTTGCCCATTACAACAGCACCCATGTTTATTCATGAAATTTGAGTGTTTTCCTGCAAGTGTTGTAGCAACTGTATATACACAAAGTAAATAGTCAAAATGAGATGGTGAATGACAAAAGGTAGTGACAAAAATAAACAAATAAAAAGGGAAAAAGAAGGGAAAAGACAATGGAGAGACAAAACCTGGGGAAGGGAAGAATTGGGAGATGAAAGATATAAGAAAATTGGAAAATTGCTGGGAGAATGGGAGAATGAGAAAACAGGGAGAATGGGGAGATGGGAGACGGGAGATGGGAGAACATGGGAGATGATGGGAGATAGGAGGCAGGGAAAAATGGGACAATAATACTGATACTCTTATGTATTTTGTAATTTTATGTTGTGTAGTAGATTGTATTTTTACTTTTGTCAAAATCCTGCTCAAAGAATGTGGAACTGACTGATCTTATGTACTATGTACTTTGAGTTTTTCTGAAATGCTGCTCATAAATGTACTTCTTTTTCAAAATCCACTATCAAGGTGTGATCTTATTCAAAATGCACAATTTATTAGGATTGCAGCCTGAGGCCAGGAAGCCAAAGGAACAATGCTCATCAGGAGCTTTCAGAATTATTAGGATGAAGCTGAGGCCAGGAAGCTAAAAAAAGAGTGCGAAGCACTCTTTTTTGCTTCCTGTGCCGAAGGCAGAACGGGTGTGGACTAGTCTAAGAAGTAAAGTGCGACGGTTGCGGGAACATTCGGGCGCTCGCATGGTTTGCGCCTATTTCGCCTATTTCGTTTATTTCATTTATCTCGCGTATTTCGCCAAAGGCCATGTGGTTTGCGCTTAGCTCGCTTAACCTCTTTTTGGAATTCTCGTGTGGACTCGCTAAGACTAAGACTAAGACTAAGTAAGAAGAGTGTGAACGAAAAATCTGAGAGAAATTTTTACAAGTCCGAAAATACTGCCAAACACGATATAGTGGACAGTAATCCTCATGCCTACTGCGCCGCGGGAATGCAACAGACAAACAACAGACTTTTCCTACTATATGGGAAAGGCATCGAGAATATCAAAAGCAATAATAGAAATTTGATTACACTTTTGGTTACACAAATCATTACACAACTTGGCTGTGTTACAGGGATCTGTAACACCTACTAGAGCCCCAGCTCTCCCTACGCCTGCCCCCGCTCTGCTAGACTCCCCGCGCGGCGGTGCGCCGCCTGCGCCTAGAAAGACAGCGGTCTGGACCGCTATGACCCCGCCCCATGGCGCTATGACCCCGCCTGGTGCTATGACCCCGCCCCTGGCCTAGACGGCCTTGTACCTGATCCATGGAGGCTGTACGCCTCATGGACACCCTAGATCAGCGCATGTATACCACATGTCGCCTCATGAAGATCCGGAGCGTGCCTGGCGCTTCCTGTACCTATGCGCAGCTGCCCTTGGCGCAGCATGCTTGATCAGAGGTTAAGCCTCATGTATCTTATCTGAACCTCATGTCTTGCTATCATAGATTTACGATATACTATTGATTACAGACGGAGCTAGAATACTTGTAGTACTTCCCTATAAGTAGACACAGATTATTGTACTTAGACTTTACTTTAATCTACTAGGTTCATCCCCAGAACTTGCTCATCTAAGCTTACCAGCTTCCTTGTGTGAGACCGCACTTCTAAGTCGCCCCCATACGACTTAGCACGTATCCGCTAGCCCTGCATCTCGACGAGCACCGTCTTACCGAGATCGCCGGAGGAATCCTTGACGTTCCGTCAAGGCTAGACCACGCTCAGCTTCAGTAGACTCACTCGAGTCGTCGCTGAGAAGACCTATCCTAGTTCGCACACGCCGACCTACAGTCGACGTAACAGGCTGCTGCTTGTGAATAGAATTCTCGAGTTAAATTGCCTTTCCCTGCAGCCAAGTGTAATAAAGTGTAATACACTTTTTGTGGGTTTCATTTCTCATCAACAATGAATAGAAGTGACTTATCAATGAGTTCAGGCAATTTTCACACTTGCCAAACAACAGTTTGAATATTATAATATAACAAAGATGGATCAAAATTTTCCTATTCCGTGAGTTGTTGACTATAAAATTGCTACATTGCAAGGTGCATGATGCTGATGTCTGCACATTTAGACAACAACCACAGATTACGCCAGAACGTGACTGCCAGTCGCAACGTGAACAAGATAGAATTAACAGACTTCAAATGATGTCTCCCACCAGACGCAATCACCGTCGGGCCGCCCAGGATAATCAGGACAGACCTCTGCCTGCTGTACCACAGCCAAATTTTGTGCCAGCTAATGAGCCACAAGCAGGCCCTGTTCTACAACCTTTTGCATGGCAACCCCCCGCACACTTCCCACATCAACCACTACCAGTTGAGTGATATCCTGGCTTGCCAAGAAATGCAATTGCGCATGTGGAGCGTGCTCATCAGTTTCCTCCTGTTGATTATAATGCTCGCTTAAATGAGCAAATGAATGCTGCTCAAAATGATAGGCGCCATCAGCAGAATCTCCGTTGGCGACAGGACAGAGATGAAATAAGACAGCAGGCACAGGCAGAGGTAGAGGTTATGGCAGCTAGAATGCAGCCTCCACAGGTACCTCACATTCCTAATGAACCTGCTCCACCTGCTCCCGTGCCTCCCGCTCCTGCATATGGCCCTATTCATTATGAGGGTGCAGTTGGACCTCAGAACTTTAATGATCCCCTCCGCTACTTTGTGCCTAATCCTGTACCACCTTTGCATGCTCTGCCTCAACCTGATTACCATCAGTTTAACATCCAGTTTCATCACCATTTCCAGCAAGAAGAGATGGAAAATGAACAGATTAGAAATGACTTTCTTCAGAGACAAGCACAAGAGGCATTTCATCAACAGCAGATTCAGCTGGAATTGCAGCAGCAGGAAGCTAGGTGGAGAAATAGAGAGGCTCAGTATGCTTTTGAAATACAGCAGCAGGAAGTTGAGTGGCACAATAGACAAGCTCTGGAGGCTCATCGCATACAGCAAGAGGAGGCTGAGCGGGCTAATAGACAAGCTCAGGAGGCTCATCGCCTACAGCAGGAGGAGGTTGAGCGGGCTAATAGACAAGCTCAGGAGGCTCATCGCCTACAGCAGGAGGAGGTTGAGCGGGCTAATAGACAAGCTCAGGAGGCTCATCGCCTACAGCAAGAGGAAGCTGAGCAGGCTAATAGACAGGCTCAGGATATTCAGCAAGCAGGTCAACAGGCAGAAGAGCGCCAACACCGCCAGGAGCAGAGGGATCATGAGCAACAGGAGCGTCTTGAAGAGGCATTGCGTGAATATGATAATCCTGCTTCTCAGCACCAGCACGAAGATGACGAGGAAAGAAGAAGAACTCAGGAGCAAGAACTGTCGCCGGCAGTGCGATGCAGAGGATGATGAAAATATCAACCAGGCACCTGTCCGAAATATCCCTATCCCAGATGGAGCTCGACCATACACAGAGCCCATTGATCGTCACACTCTTGGTCCTCTTAATGTGGAGTGCCCCAACTGCCATGCCATGCATTTGCATGTTGAAAGACTCACCAAATCATCTGCACGAAATCCACGCTTTGGTATGTGCTGCTTGGAGGGAAAAGTCGACCTTCCTCCCTTTCCAGCATGGCCACTTGAGCTGCAACAGGCATATGGAGACAGAACATTTGT